CTTATGCTTACCACACGACCCCTCGATAATTGATTCTTTTTTAATTAAGCACACTAAAGACAAAATTACAAAACTTTTAAAAGCTGATTGATATTGTGCATTCCTGTTTTTATTCAGGATAAAAATTTTAAAATTTTTATCAATACTCATTAAAAAATGCATGCCTAACTATACAAAATCAAGCTTTCTAATTTCAAGTTTTTCTAAGACAAAATAAATTTTCAAAATATAGTAATTATATATTCAAATATTTTTTCACTATCACATTCCTCAAGCTTTATATATTTCTGTTAAAGCAATTTTTTGAATAAATTCAGTGAGAAAAAAATACTAATTAATTGTGTTGTTACTTATGCCACTGATCGACAGTAACATCGGATCAAGGTCCACGAAATTCATCGCGGCTAAAGGCTAAATTTTTACACCTGTCATTAGCCTTAGCTTTCAGCACCATGCAGGTGACACTACGATTTTGCTCTGTTCCACCCCAATTTTGAGAAAAAACACCCTGGGGGTGGTCAGGTTGCCTCCCACCAACCTCATAAGAGGACTTGCGGCTAGACGGCTATTTAAAGTACCCCCATGTCGCGAAGGCACTATACATTTACAAACATCCATTCCTTTTCCTGGATTTGAACCCAGTCCCTTCGGCACCGCATTCAGCGTCACTAACCACTATACCGGATAGGCCTAATTAATTGCAAAATATATTATTGGGAGGTCGGTTTTAAAGTGTACGACTATATCGAAACATTTATTTTTGATGAACTACTAAAGGACAAAATAAAGTGCATAAGTTACACAAATTTTTTATTGACTGTTATTCGCATTCAAATAAATAAATAAATAAATGAGAACCACATCACTATTTTAATGCGATTTTCACTATATCGATGTTGTTACCGGTGTTTATATTATTTTAACCTTCATGTGTATACGATCGAGAAGTTTTCTCAAAAATAACTCTCTGATATTAAAACTATTTCCGAAAATTCAATCCAAAATAAATCAGTTGAAAATAAATTGTTTTTGCTCGATTCTTTTATAATGATGACAATCTCTGGAAACGAAGAAAGGAAGATTTTAGATTAGAGGATTTCAAGAAAAAGATTGAACAGTGAAAGTTATTTGCTCGAGAGAAACAGTGGTTAAATAAAAATTTAGAAAGAAAATCACTCACACAAACAAAATAGCACTTTTTCTTCGCTCAGTAGCTCCCTGAAGATGTATTTAATGAAAGAAAAAGTTTTGGAACCTTTTTTAGCAGTTTTTCTTTGTAGAAAATTGGAACATTCTTTAGCTATTAGGTGATATGTGATTACACACAGCAAAGATATTTTGCTGAATTACATATGTTTAACCCTTTATCTACCGCATTATGATTTACTGCAGTTTTTTTTCATGCAATATTCTTTTTTTGAATCACTACATTGAAAATTAAGGGATATATACATATTCAAAATACTCAACTTTGGGAAATTTAATTACTTTGAGCTAATTAATTAATTAAAGATATCCAACTGTAAAATTAATTATACACACTGTTCACTTAAAATAAATAATCAGATCGTTTTCTAAGGTCTGCATCAAGAAACAAGAAAAATAAGACACTTTCCTTCTGACACTAACTATTTTTTCGGAACAAAAATAACAATCGCTATCCGCTTAAAACGCCGTCAGATGAAGACGAAATTTCTGCTATAAAACTATTCGCCTTCCCCACTAAGACATTCATCAGAGAACCCGTGCTGCCATATATCTTGAAAGGGTGGATTTCAAAGAATATTCCTGCTAAGTATCACTGAGTATTCGTAAAAATGGTTATTCTATGTAATTTTAAAGTGAGTGGTACTTATAAGTACCGTCGGTAGATAAAGGTTTAAAGTATAAATCTATTAAAAGTCACGAGTTTTGATCCAAAAAATAAAACTAAATAAAAGAAATTTTAAATAATAATATATCGCAATCAGTACCGATGTAAAAGTAGCAAAAAACAACTACTTTTTTAGAACTAAACCAACAAAACAATACCTAAAGAGAAATAAACATTGCATTAAGAAGCTAATTATTATATTAATTGACAATCATGTCTCGCAATACAGTTTTTGTTTATTATCGTTTAGTTAAACTAAACAAGCATAATAACGAAAATTAATCAGTTCTTTTTTAGTCTATTCAATTTAAATTACCTAACAGAAACTTGCTTTATATAAAAATTATATTAGGTAGTAAGCATTGTTCTTGTTTGTTAAGTAATAATTTCGGATTTTTTTTTCAATTACTAAGAACAAATGATAAAAAATTGTTGGGATAAATTAACGCAATAAAATATAACATTCATTGAAAAGCGTATAAAAATATTTTCCTATTGTAAATCTTCAGAAAATATAGTTAATGTTTGTTATCCATAATTGTTAAATTATTTTAACTGTCGTTACATTGCCTGAATGATCAAAACTCATGGGAATTTTTCAAAAAAATAGTTAATTTATCAATTAGGATATAAATAAAAACGTTTATAGATCAAAAATGCAGAACTTCATTTTTATGTATCTTATAACAGAATGTCAAATTTTATTTTTGGTAAATAGTGGCACAACCATCAGCAGAAATGATGCGTCTTTAACAACTTCCGAATTTCACATTACAGCTTAACAGAATTAAAATTAATGTTAATAGCTTCAAGGGAGTCACATTTCAGGGAGTTAAAAGGAGGGTGTATAAATTAAGATATATTAATTACCATAGCTAAGATGTATGATTCATCAAAATGAATAAATTAAATTAATTAACTCAATGTTTATAAAGTTAATTAATTTAACATATTATTTGTGTGCATATCTCCTTAGGAACAAAAATTCTAAAACAGAATTTTTCCATTATAGAAAACAAAATTTTTCGCATATTTGAATTTTTTTTCTTACAATTCTCTGAAATTTAAAATTTTTAAAATTCGTTAAGTAACATTTTAAAAGTTATGAGGATTTAAATATATGTATCATACCTGATATTAAATGACTGTTACAAACATTTTACATTAAAAAATATTTTCCACCCAATACATCCCCACTTTTCTTACACAAAAAGGTAAACAATTATTTTCTCAATTCTACAAACAAGAAAATTTGGAAATAATATTAATACTTTGTAAAATATATTATACAATCAAGGAAAAGTAGTGAAATGTAACATGCCAAACTTTTTTAATATTAGTATTCATCATTTTATTAAAACCCCTAGGTTTAAAATTTCATGGTAAATCCTCCTATTGTTCAGGAAATATTTAAAACCAAATATTGGAAATCGTGGAGTATAAAAAGATGCATATTAAATTATACATCGTGATTATTGGTCCATTCATCACGTGATGTTAGGAAAAGAGAATAACCTTATAAATCACTTGTGTGGAAGAATTAGTATACTATGTGAGGTTCTCAAGAGTTTTTTCCGAATATCTGTGGGACCTATGATTCAAATCAAATAAAATGCATAACTTAAGCTATTGTTACTGTTTTCAGCCTACTTCTGCAAAAAATTATTCTTGTAACGAAAAAAGTTTGTTTTAGAAGTTAATGAGCCATGTTAATTAACTAATTAGTTAATTCATTGACATGATAATTTAATTATCTTTGATTCAATAATATTGATACTAATTGTGTCTAGCTGCGATAAAAATTGAGAAATTTAGTAGGGGGTGAATTAGTTTTTTTCTTTCTTTTAGCAAATAAACAAAAATAATGAATTATTTCTGGTATAATAGATGAATATCTATATTTTACTGTAATTAAAATGAAATAAGGATTTATAAATGTAATTGAATTTCCTATGCAATTCTGTAAAATGTTTAAGATTAAATGAATAATTTGAGAATCTTGATGCATGAGAATTCGAGAATAATTCAAACAGTTTAAAAGCTAATAATTGAATAATATTATGAATCTTTAAGTGATTATAACCTACAGCGAACTGAATAAATATCTTATAATATTAACTTAACATAAACATTTGAACTTATGTATATATCAGTTAAGTATCAGAATTTTATTTTTTAAAATATTAAAAATTTTAAATACTTTTTATATTTTACTACGGCAAAAATTTGTGAAGAAATTCCTTTTTAAATGCTGCGAAAGAAACTGTATTGCTTAAAATATTTTGAAATGACTTAAGTAAAATGGGGTGAAAATTAATCTAATGATAAATTTTATTAAGCTTAGATAATGACACATAACAATTGTCATTTTATACAATCCTATAATCCCTTTGAAAAAATATCGATTTCATAATTTAGTAACAAAGCTAAGATATTACATGATGTAGAATTATAGTGCAAGTAAAAAACGCACCTGTTTCAACAAACATATAATTATTGTGTATAACTTAAATAGTTAGTTATTTAGATTATATATATATATATATATATATGCTCCTACGCGTGTGAAAATCTATAACAAAACTGAAGCAAATGCAAAGAAAACATGCTTTTTTCAATTCGTACTATTAGTTCACATTCTCTCTCTTTATATATATATATTAGGCTTAACTTTTCAACTTGGTTTTTTTCCCCCTATTATGTCGAAAGTTTTTGCTGTACGGGGAAGGTTGGATCCATAAAGCATTGCTAACCCTAACTCGCTGGCCTAATTCAGCGACAGCTTTAGAAATCATAATAGGTCTCCAGTTTAGTCCAAAGACCCTTTTGAATCTACATTTGTTATGTCTGGTGAATTCCAATTTCTTCCCGCTTTAGCACTGTAGGTTTTAGTACTTCTTCACTTTTATTTTATATTACTATATATATATCTTGCTCAAATTTTCAATCATAAATATAATACGTTTTATTCATCTATTCAAGTTCAAATACATTTTTTTAAGCTTGTAGTGAATGACACTTGATGTTAATACAGTTTTACAAACATTAATTCATTAATCATATTTAATTAATAATTAGTAACAAACAGAAATAATAGTCCAACACCATACATAAAAGCGCTCGTTGTGTTTCTGTAGAGCAATGGATAGCGCGTTGGACTTTTAATCCAGTAGTCGTGGGTTCGAATTCCACCCGGAATGGTCGAATTTCTAAGAATGTGATTTATTTTTACTGTACTATTTTATTGGAATAATTAAATTTAATTGATGAATAAATAGTAACAAACACAAAAAAAATAGTCCAACACCATATATATAGAAAGGAAAAAATCACTTCCTATTTTGCCAAATAATATTGTGATTTTGTCATATGTATATATACATTTTTATATTAATTGTAAATATTTAATAAAAAAGCAACTAATATAAATATTTTCTTTGTTGACCTAAGTAGGAATTGACTTTAAAAAAAATTTATATATTACTTGTTAGTTATAAGTTAGACACGAAACTTTTCTTACACCTTAGAATTTTAAGAGAAAATGTGCATGATGATACTAAGAAAAGATATTTTTTTTTTTTTTGCACTTTTATTGTAAATATTTTTATAGATTTAAATAAGATATTTAAATAAATTATTCATAAAAATTTATTTTCATAAGGCTCTGATATATTTCCTTTTAGAAATTATGGAGTTTTGATATGAACATTTTTAAAACCATGTCAAAAATAGATGTATATTCAGCTACAGGTGGAAATTATTTTAAAATGTCAAACTATATATCCCATTTGTATACTTTTAAAAAACAATAGAAATTTTATACCAAAGTAATGGGCAACATACCTTACGTTACTATTAGGGACTAAAGCTGTATTTACCCAAGTAAATAGCTAAATCTCGATTTGTCAGCTGCTGCAGTCGGAAGAAAATAAACTGCGTGCAGCTCAGTTGCACGTACAGAGAAAAACGCCATCCTTCATTTTGATATCCATTTGGTATCAAAGAATGCTGACTATTTGATTCAGCGATATGTCACGTAGAGGACCGGAATAAAAATACACTTTCAAACTTCCTCTATCCACATATATATTTCTTTTCTCAAAAGATAACATATATTTATTGAAATAAATCCTATTACATTTAAGATCCATTGTACTGCAGTAAACGTGACGAAACAATATTCGGATTTAAGTACAATTATTCCAATTCAAATAAAAGCTATTTCAATTTGGCAAATTTTGTAAATCATAAATCAACGTTACGAATAATGAATGAACACTAAATAAATATTTTTATTCCTTATTATAAAGAATCTTTAATTGCCATGTATCAATTTTAATGTACTTTTATATTTTCTACATTCTGGAAAAATTCTTGGAAAAAGGGTACATATTTAATTCTCAAAGTGCTCCATTATTTAAATCTTACACTTGTATTTTAAAAAAAAACATAATACATTAATAACCACACACACACACATATATATAGTTGAAATATAAACTCTTTTATCCGTACATATAAACTATTTACGAAGCTAAAAATTTAAATGATGGTTCATTGAAGAAAAAGATATTATGTGAGGGACATTTTTAAATCTATTTATTTTACAAATTAAACGCGATATATACTCAAATACTTATCATTCTAAACAACTTTTATTTTTGAATTTAATCTTTAAACATTTTTTTACAATAAATTTATTATAAGTTGAAAATTATTTCCATTTACTTTTTGATATGAATAAATATTATTTTTAATGAAAAATTTCTATTTTGCTCAAGTAAATTTAAAGTAAGAAATGAAGAAATATGACATTGAAGAAAAATCTCAAACAAAAAAAGAGAAAAAAAGTTCTAAATGTCATAAAAATATTTAAAATATCTTCAGTCTACTTTTTCTCTTACTCCGTACAATATAATTCCAGACGGTTTTGTTAATTTAGAATATTTTAATTTTCCAAAAAAAAAATAAAAAATAACTCATGAAAATTAAATTTTTTAGAACTCTTAATTTACTTGCTAATAAGGTTGTTTTTAGATGATAAAATAAGTAACATCATAAAAAAGCAATCTATTCACAAGTTTTTATTAAAATAAGTTCAAAAATTTTGAATGTATTTATCTTAGTTCTGGGAGAATTCTTTTCGACAACAATTAGTAAATTTTGAATTCAAGATACTGCATTTCCCTTCGTTTCATACTCACTAGTCCTTAGCACTAGTTAGAATAGATGTTTACAAAGTTATGAGAACACAAACTTGAAAAGCGTATGAGATGAAACAACTTCTTTCTAGTACTCCGTGTCCTGAAAAATATCAATTCTGGTCAAATATTTGCGGGATCTAAAATTGGGCGCATGACCATTTGGTATGCAGAATAATCAGTCTATAGAGACACTGAGAATTATTTGTAAAGGCCTTCATTCAACGCTCCAATTGCTATCCTTATAATATGGATATTGGTATGTTGAAAAGTACTTACGAGGCTTTGAAATAAATATCACAGTTGTATTATGTATACATTTTGCAGCCGATCCCTTAATTATACATCATTCTTGAAAATATGGATGCAGTACAAGTTACATATGTATAGGTATCTGTTAAGAGGGAGATTGTGTTTATAGGTATAGGGGTTGAGGCATAAGATTTAGATGCATTGCAGAAGACTTATTAGAGTAGGGGTCTTCATTACCCGCAGGACACAGAAGACCAGCTGAAGGCATTTTAGGGCTCCCTCCCCCTCCTCCATTTGAATTTGAGGTAATTTAAAAAAATGCCTCGTCTGCTTTTTTTGTCTAAAAACGCATTTTTCTGTTACCATTGAAATTTAAAGCATTTCATCCATGTGTTTGCTATCTATATAAAATAAAACTTTCTGAAAATGACAAATCTTTCAAAAATTTCACTGTATCTTAAACAAAAAAAAACATCTGTCCACGCATAAAATCAAAGACATTTTAGGAAAAAAATGGTGAAATCTTATGTTTAACAGTTTTCAAAGCATTTTAATTCTACTTTCATTTAACTTTTTTGAACCCGATATATATAGAAAAATATATACAAATCTGCACTCTCTCTTCCCTTAGAATCAGTTGTAATCTTGTAAAACAACTGTGAATTTATTGATGTAGCTCGTGGATCATTACAAATTTAGTAATTTGGCCCTCGAGGTTGAAGAGCTCTAATGTAGTGCATAATGCTAATGGTAGTGTTATTGAAAGATCAAGGTGCTTTGTACTTTACCATATTGCTAAACGGCTGAAGAATTCTGTGAATTTAGGATTGAACCAGTTATCTGCATCAAATCTCGAAGTTGCTGAGTAATCCAGGATACAAAAATCTTGATAATTTTAAAAAAATAAATTTAAAAAAATGTTTTGAAAATGCTACTTAATTATTATGGAGAATGACACGTGTATCATATTTGAAGCATGATTTATCATTGAGAGAGAGAGAGAGAGAGAGAGAAAATATTATAACTTCTAACAAATAAGAAAAATACTAAGCAATACTTCAGTTGGAAGAAAATTGCTTTTGAATCAGGCAACTTCTGTTTCACTCATTATGCATTAATACCTATAATAATAAAATATGATGTTCTAAAATTACTCTAGGTTAATGGAGATACTCCAAAATATTTCCATAAGCAGAAAAGAAACTTTATTTAATGACTTTCTCTCTAAAATGAGTTTCAGAAATACTCACTGACGTGTGTGACCCAACTAGAACATTCCTCAGGTCAAAAGATCTAGGACATATACTTCGTGAATAAAACTTCTCGGGTAATAACTCTTCAAGCACTCTAATTATTACTCTGGAATTCATAAACACGCTGCCATACTATCAAATGCTCTTATCCTTATGCTTTGTGTAATTTTAAAGAATTTTAATTTTAACTAGAATAGAGTTCTTTCTCAACATAATTGTAGTGATATGCAATAAATACATTTTGCTTCAGAGTTTTTAAATTGAATGATTATTTCGCATTTCAGATGTGTAGAACTTAATCAATATTTAATGTATTCAAAAACTCAACAATTCTTTCTGTTTTTATTTTTTTTTTATTTCTAATTTGAGATTGTAAAAACTTATTTCATACTATGAATGAATCTTAAATATATGTGTAGCTTTCAAAGAAAAAATATCATTTTTCTTAAATGTTGAATTATTGTAGAAAGCAAGAAAATATATATCACAATTAATTAAATGTTCTGTACACATTGTATGTATTATTAACTATATTTTTAAAGAAAAAATACCTTGCATTGTAAAAAAAAAACTATTTGTTCAATATTTTATGAGGGATGCAATTAATAGTGTAATTAAAAAGAAGGAAAAATACATTAAGTGAAACGAGATGTTTTACTCTAGTATACGAAATATTTTGTATTACCCATATAAAAATGAAAGATAAAAACTTATTTCCATGAATGCTGAAAAATGTTCCGCTTAAATTATTATTATTTTTTTTTTTAATAAAATGGATCGCTTACAAAAATTTCTAGTGAAAGGAAAAATTTATCATGAATTTTTATGTTTTTGAATTAAATGCTTCGTAGTTTTCGTGGAAAGTTTCGGAATCAATCTTTTCTTCAAACAATCTGGGGATTTTATCTATCTGAAAAAAAAAGAGAGCGAAAGAAAATCGAAACTCATTTTTAATTCTTAAAATTTCTGCTGTATTATTATTTGTTTTATATCGTTGCTTACCCCATCATAAAACTAGATTAACTCCATAAAGTTACCTTATTTTAGTTTTTGATGACCATGCTATATCAGGAGAATAGCTGGTCAGTTATGGGTTTCTTTTTATATTAATGCCATAAGACAAAGGGACTTTCTACACATTTCGATTTTTTTGTACTTTTTATCCCTTGTATAATGCTACATTTCTCTCAAAAACTTGTATAATTGAAAAAAAAAATCATTATAGAAAAATTGAGAATTATAAAATCATCACCTGTTTGGATTTTAAGCGAAATACATATAATTTATGATTTTTAAAGCATATTTTATTCAGATCTAATACACTTGATAGTATTCTAGTAGCCGCGGAAGTCTAGTGGTTATGGTCACGAATTCGTGGCCGATGTGCCATGAATTAGAGCCTAAAAGCCACTGCATATCGTCATGTAAAGGGGATTATTCGTGTTAATCCAGTGATACTCAACCTGCGACCCACGGGCCGTTCGTGGCCTGGTG